TGTATAAAAATGATTGCACAAGATGAAAATGACACAAATTAAAGAAAGTTAATTTGAATTGATCAAATTTTTAGTTTTCAAATTAATATTTTGTTGTATACTAAAAAATATGTGTATATAAATCTTTTGGATATTTTATTGTCCTCAAATATTATTATATGTTTTGAATTTTTAAAATTTTTAATTAAACATTTGAATTTTATTATGTTTGATATCTTAATTATATTAATTATAATTTACATATATATTAAACATCTAAGTGATTAAATAATATTATCTATATATCTTAACATGTTTAAATAAATAAAGATAATCCGCACATTATACGGGTAACAAGCTAATATTAAAAAAAATTATTAAAAAATTGAAAACATTTTCTAAAAAGTAAAAAAAAAAAAAACCTGAAATTTAAGAAAAATCCAAAAATTTTCAAAATTTTGAAATTTCATAAAACATAGAGAAAAAATTAAATTTGTAAGATTAAAAAAGAGAATTTTTCATAATTTTAAAAAAATTACAATTTTTAAAAATTTTTAGATTTTTCCAAAAAAATTTTAGATTTTTTTATTTTCATTTTTTTAAGTTATGGTGAATCTTTTTTCAAATTTTAAGAAAAAATTATTTTTCTTGAAATTTTCATTTTTTATGAATTTTTCAAAAAAAATTTAAAACTTTTATGGGATTTTTTATTAAAATTTTGTGATTTTTTTAATTTTTTAAGTTTTCAAAATTTTTAAAATTGTTAAAAATATTTCAGTTTTTAAAATTTTTATAATCTTTTAAAATATTTTAAATTTTTTAAAATTTAAAAAAAAATTTATGAATTTTTTAACGCTGATGTGGCAATTGATAATGTAGCATTGATTGGACTTTTTGATACATATTAGCATCTTATTATATATTTATATCATATCAGCAAGTTAATTGACGACATTAGTATCAAGTACCAAAATAGGTGGCAGAATGAAAATTGAGATATTAAACTAAAATTTTTATTTATTTAGATATCAAATTGATAAAAATTATATAGTACAAGGGCTATTTTATATTTAATTCTACTTTTTTTATGTTTCTTCCTACCAAAGTTTGAGCTTATGTTTAGGTTAAAGGGAATTGAGAGAAAAGTAAAGAAAAGTGAAGAAAAAAAACTCTTTCCTTTATTTAGATAACCAATGAAATAAAATAACAGGAATGGAGTGGTACTTAGTATCTCTTGATTTTCCTCAAAAACTCTATTTTTCAATTCCTTCATATTGAAGGAAAAAATAAAGAAAAAAAAGGTAAAATAAATTTAGATGCTAAAATATCCACAAAACCCTCAATTATTTCAACAAGTCTTGTGGCAGCTACTTTTTTTTTTTTTTCAAAACAATGTTGTGAAGCAAAAACCCAACATGTAACAATGGATGAAATTTTTTATGTGTTTGCATGTTAGTATGTTATCATGAATATTTAATGAATAACAGAGAGATATTGTGGCCTAGATTGACCAAAAAATATTAGCTAAATGTTCAATTTGAGATTAAACATTTAGGTGGTTATTTAATTTAGAACTAAATGTTTTGTTTTGTACGAATGAGGAATAAACGTTATTGATTTGTAACACTAATAGATTTTTTCGATAGATTTAAAAGTGTACATTATATGCATTGTCATCTTAAGTAAATAATTCAACCCAACTAATATTTTTGTTGATGTGGTAAATTAAAAGTATCATCTTTCATTGATATGACAATATTTTTATCCACATGTGCAAAATAATACAAAAAATTAATTTCAAATGTAATTTATAAAAAAATTATAATTTAATTAATTAACTTTTAAGTTAAATAATTCTTTTTACAGATAAATGAACACTAGCTAATTCTTTAACCTTTTATAGATTTTGATCATCGTACACCACCGTCAGCCACTGCTTGTCAACATTGATTAACCTCCAAATTTTACTAATAAGTTCGTCTTAGTCTCTTCTTTAACATGATCTAGTTGGTTTTCTCAAAGACTCGCTAGATTTTTGTGGATCCAAGATCAAAGTTATGATTTTCTCTATTTTTTTAGCCTCTCTGATGGTTGTTACCTTAAGATATGTTATTCCCTTTTTTCTTGACTACACCTTATGAGTTTTTAAGACCTGAATCCCTTTTGATGATGCAAACTTGAATACAAAGAGGGATGAGGCTTTCTCTTCCTTTTTGAAATTACTGTTACTGTGTTGGCTGCTGATTTTTCCTTTATTTATTTCTCTTACCCCCAGATGAATAACAACCCATTTTTTAGAAAAATAGCTTCTCACTTGAGTTTCTAGCAATTTTCACAAATTTGGAAGACCCACTTCATTATTCATATAATTTTGAAAGAATGAGTTTTTAAACTATAAAAACAAAGTAGAAAAAGGGATTGCGTAAAGATTTGCAATTGGGATTTGCCCTATCTCTCTCTTAGTCTACCATTATCACTGTTATTGGTCTCTTTTCTTTGCTTGTTGTCTCACTTGTTTAGCAACTCTCTGGTTTATCCTCTTTTCTTCTTTGTTGTGCAAATGACAATCTCTATTAATAGCTTCAAATTTTCAAATTGTATTTGAAACTTCTAAAATGGACATTCATTTGGCTAAGTAGAAATCTTGACCTATTTGAACTAATGAAGAATGTTATGATTAAGAAATTTTTAAAATTTTTAAAATTTTAGGATTAAGAAAACCTAGAAAAAAAAAAAAGAGATTTGTTTGAAAAGAGAGAATATGAGTAAAAAATAGAAAAGAAGCAAAATATTTTTAAAAGTTGAAAAATACACGTAATTTTTATCTATTAATATTTTTTAACTTACTGGCAAGTATGTTTCATTGCCTTTTTCAGTTTAAAAAAATCCTATATTATTATAAATCGATAATGTTTAAGTTTTATTTGTATAAAATAAAATGTTTAGTTATAAATTGAGTAACCACTTAAATTTTAATCCTAAACTGAACATTTAGTCAAAAATATTAGAGCCAAGAAAAAGTAAAGATGTTGACCACATCCATTATATATCCATAATTACTTGTATACAAAAAAAGGATTATTCCTTCGTCTCAATTTGATTGTTGTGTGTTAATTTTTACGGAGTTAAGAAAAAAAGGTTTTGACTTTAATATATTTAATATCAAAATTAAATTTTTTTATAAATTAAAATTTCATGATTTTTAATCTTAAAAAGTAAAATATATATAATATAATTTTAAAATATAAAATGTAAAAGTTTTAGATGTTCAAAAAAGAAAATAAAACGTAATTTTAGGACATCCAAAAAGAAAAGATAGATAAAGAAAATGGGATAGAGGGAGTATATATTAACACATTTAAACAATAAAATGGTAAACTCACGAGGGTTTCTTTTTCATTAAAACTTTTTAACTATGTTATCTACTTAGTAACAAGTCAAGTGACACAACAATTAAAAATCACCATATAAAATATGTATATTTATTTATTAATTAAAATATTAAAAATAATAATTACACATATGAACTAAATGTTATTTTAGTTTTTAATTTTGAAAAAAAATAAATTTTTATATTTTTTTAATATAAAAATAATTTTATTTAAAAAATATAGTTAAAAATATTATAATAAATAATTTCCTTTCCTTTTCATTTTTTAACCAAATAATGGTTATTATGATCCTTTTCTTTTTTTTTATAGTTTTAACTATACAAACAAAGGTTATATGTATCTTTTTCTTTAAAAAACCTCACTTTACTTTCCTTTACTTTTTTTTCTTTTCTTTTCATTTACTAATATATATTAAAACATAGCGTTAATGATTTATCTTAAAAAACTAGCTTATGACTCATACAATGCACGAATTAATTATATCTATTTAAATATGTATGATACACAAATTATTATTTTTTAAAAAATTATATTTAAATTTTAAATACTTAAATATCATATATATTATAAGAAAATTAAAATTTTGAAAAAAATGAAAAATTTTCAAATATACATTAATATTATTTAAAATAATAAAATAAAATAAAATATTTTCAAATTTAAAGCCAACACTCACACTAATCAACAAATTACTAACGATTAAGAGTTCAACATTCATGGCAATACTATTAAGAATTGAGCCAGCAAGGAAAGCAAGACCTCCAAAACACAGAAGCTTTGAATCAAAAAATCTCCGTTATTATTGAAGCAACAAAGCAAGCTACCAAAGTAGCAATGTAGAGGGAAGAGGTGAAAAGGGTCAATAGCTAGCTATCAAATTTGTAGTACTCGCTTTCATGTTTGGTTTCATCATTAATTGTTTTATATACTGAAGGGAAGAACTTCTGCAAGAATTGTTCAATTGAGGTCACCCCTCTTACAAAGATTACAAAAAATTCAACTCAAGATCCTGAAAATGTTTTTAAAAGACGATGAAAAAAACCATGAGTCTGATACAAATATAATATTCCTAGGTCATAACTAAAGAAAATTGAATTCTCTTTATATTTTGAAAGATTAATTGAATATATGTTGCATTATTTTTTAAAATAACAAAAATATTGTTGAATGATAAATTCAATTATAAAAAAACTATTAGCATATTTTTACTTTCGTGATCCTAATTAAATTGCTAAATAAAATAAGAAAAATGATCAGAGATGTTTATCAAAAGAAAAAAATAATAAAAAGAAAACTTATTTTTATACGAAAAATAATATTATGCATGTATTATCATATCTTAATTATTGTGAGCTGATCAAATTACTGAAAAAATATTTTAAAAAAAAAGATTAATAGCGTATATTAAAAAAAAGAATTGTATGTAATTGACCTTGAAAATTAAAAACCAAAAAGTAAAGTAAGAGAAACAACAATAAAAGCAGAAGCAAAATTCAATTATACAAATTCGCACAAAGAGTACCTCAGGTTCCGAAATCTATTTATACTTGCATGCTATGAGCGAGCATTACACTGATATCTACTAACTGAAGTTCCTTTCTTGGTACAACCTTCATCAAAAGGAATCCATCAACAATATTCATTGTAAGATAGAGTGTCCCTGGCATAAGGTTGAATTTGCGGTGGACTATCCATCAACCAGTCCACGAGGATTGATCTCATCTTTGCATTGGTATCTAGCTGCAAATCCATATAATCATGTAATCGACCCTCATCCTGCATCAGAAGACTTATGATGTTAGAATATGAAATATATAGAAGAAAAAAAATTATTAAAAGCGAAAGATTCATACTTTTGGGAACTTGTAAAACTTGTAGATATCATCCACATATTCAGTAATAGCCAATTCACGACCAACATCAGCTCCATCAATGTATTTAATTCAATAATAGCCAATTCATTATCAACATCAGCTCCATCAATGTCCTCAATGGAATCTTTACGCTTATTTGTAAGACTACAAGCAGCCTAAAATGAAATCAATTAATCAACAAACAGTAAATTAAAAACACGAGAAAAAAGTTCAATCATTTCTTTGCTTGGCATATCTATCTATCTATTATCTTACTTCAAGTAGAGAGGATCGAAGCGAAGGTTTTAACTTCCTTCCTTGAAGATCTTTCTTTTCTGCTAACATGTCTGCTTTTCTCAATTTTTTCATCAGAGCTTATCAATATCGCGGTATCAGGTTTTGGTTTATAAACCTTATCAACAACAAACAAATTTCATAAAATTTTAGTATCATATCTGTTTGTATGTGACACATACATCATACTTTTGAAGGAAAATTAAGTTGTAAACTGAAAAAACAAATACAATATTTAAAATCTTAAGATAATTCTTGGATGGCAATTAAGATATGTGGATAATTTTTGTAATTTAAATTAAACATAATGATAAAAAAAATCTAATTCTTTATAAATGCCGTGTGTTTGCAGGTGTGTGTATATATATTTGAAATACAAACTTGGTAGTTCTAATTGAAAATGGATATAGAATGCATTTATTGTTCCTAATATTTAGGAATTTAATATGAAAGAGCTTTTTAAATTTTAAATGTTATATATATTTAAAAAGAGTGAATTTTGAAATAAATTTTATCTTATTCAAATTAAGATAAAATGGTTGAAAGATTTGAATAATCTTAACTTTTAAAATTTTAAATATTTTTAAAATTAAATAATTAATTGAATAGGATTATTTAGCAGAGAACTAAAATGAAATTATTATCTTATGGGTGAAAAACATAAATTATTCATGCAGACATTCACGAGGCATACCTTAACATGTAGTTATGTATCTTGTAATATAATATAATATATATGATTTAAAAATAGTGAAATAGTTGGGAATACTAATAATTAATAAAGTCTCTCTAGGGTTTTGTCCATAAGAGGTGTTCTGGTTTTGTCCATAAGAGTAACAACTTTTAGATCGTCTCTGTGGGCATCTTCAAGTAAGAAGTTAAGTCAGTAGGTTAGTTCAGTAGTGGAGTCAGTGATATGGCGGATGACCTAGAGGATATGTGGGGGAACCTAACTCTCACAAAGGAGGAAATGGATAGGATAACACCAAAAAACAGTGGCTTGATCAGATCAAATGGAAAGGAGCAACAATGGATGGTGGGAAAGATTCATACTTCAACGCCATTCAATAAGAAAGCAATGATAAGCACACTCAGAATAGTTTGGCGGTTAGCAAAGCCTGTAGACATAGTAGATCTTGAAAAGAACTTTTCCTGCACAAATTCAACTCCAAGGCTAATAAGAATAGGGTACTGGGCGGAGCACCCTGGTCCTTTAATAAGTATACACTTTTGATGAAGCCGTACAAGGCAGTGTTAAGACCACAGGATTATCGTGTGTTTTTGGCTAAGAGTTTATATCTTTCCACTGGGAATAAGATCTCAGGAGGTAACAAGAAGTATTGGAATAAAGATAGGATAGTTGGTTGCTGTAAATGACAGTTTGGAGGATGGAGGTTGGTCGGAATTCATCAGAATTTGGGTGGAAATTGACATAACTAAATCGCTGACACAGGCTTTGTTAGTAAAGGGAAAAAATGGTTCACCGAATATATATGGAAGAATCAAATACGAACAAATGCTAGCCTTCTGTTATTTCTGTGGTACAATGGGACATGTTGATGCGAACTGTTAGAGGAACCCAACACCACAAATCAAGCCTAAAGGGGGAACATAATATGGTGACGACTAAGGGCATCCTCATTGAAAAGAAAAAGCATGGGTGCTAGGACAAATAAGATGCATACGTCCGCAAAGAAGGGACATCACCAAAAAGGAGGTTTGAACTCAACTAGCATCGAGGAGAGACACCCGACAACAGTGGCTATTGATCTAGAGTCGACCGAAAATAGGCAAAGCTTCCATGAAGGGCAGTTATGGAAATGAGTTGAACAAAGCGAGAAATTTAGAACAAAGCGAAATTGGAGGAGGAATAGGTGGAGGAAATATTATGATCGGAGATCTCGTAACTCGATGTGATACTTAAAGCATGAAGATAATGATGATGAGATAAGAAGCTTTGGACAAAATGAATGTAACAACATGATCATAGGCTTTTTTCGAAATAGGTGAAAAAACAGACTATGGCTGAAATAGCTCAAATTGGACTGGATACTAGGTTGATCGGGCTTCAACGAAATGGGCCAGCTACTTGTGGTTTGTTAGGCCACAAAAGAATAGGCCGAAAAGGGATAGAACCCAAGCTGGGATACTCCTGGGAGGAAAATGGATACTCGGGATGAGGGAAACATAGAAGATGGAGAAAATGAAAACAGAATTCCATGATGCAACACTGGAAGCAAAGGAAAGTGGAAAAGTTGACTCGTTCCACTTATAGTAAATCGTATGAAATTTTTGCTCTTTTTTGAAATAATCAATTACCATAAAGATAAATCGATACCAATTTAAAGCTTTTAGAATGATAGGTCCAATCACATCTATTTCTCACATAAAGAACAACCATAGAGGTGCGAGAACATGTAAAAGAACTGAATGAGTGTGAATCTTATTTGCATATATGTGGCATTTATGATATTTTTTAGCAAAGTTAATACAATCACTCTTTATCGTTAACCAATAAAAGCCCATTCTCATGATCTATTTAGCCATCATGCACTTCTTCAAGTATCTTCTTTGTTTGACCACATTCATTCATCTCAATAATATTTGATCTCAACTTCTTTTGTATAAAATTTCTCTATCGAGAAAAAATCTCATAACCAATCTTTGAATAATTCATTTGTTATTTTCTAATGCATGTTCTATGTATTGTTAGTGCTTAACATATTGCATGATATCATAATACCAAGGTAAACCATCAACCTTCTCTTAAACACTTAAGCAGTATGTCGGTGATCTTTGTACATTCAACTGGATAGGTTAGATTCTACTTTATCACTTACTTTGAACATTGCAGCCAATATGGCTAAAGCATCTGCCATCTGATTATCTTCCTAAGGTATATGCCAATTGAACCTTCTTAGATTACTTGATCAAATCTATCACATACCACTAGTATCGTACTAACTTTGAATTTCTCATTTTTCATTCACCTTGTAACTGGTAAATTATCAAGGTCGAGTCCTTATATGCCTCAACCATTTCAATATTCTTCTCAATTGCCATTTGCAGGCCTATTATGCATATTTAATATTCTACCACTTTATTGGTGAAATTAAAATCCAATCTTATAGTACTTGGATAGTATCAAGGGGTATCAAAATTAATATCCTATGCCCCAAAGCATTCAAAGCTCCATCAAAGAACATTTTTCATGGTTTTTCTATCAGTTCATCTTTTTCAATTTGGGAAATGGTCATCAAATATTTGTCAGAAAAGTCAAACTTCATGGGTTCATATTCATTAGTTGCACACTCTACAAGAAATTTAGTCATTACACTTTCTTTGATAGCCTTTTGTGCAACATATACAATATCATATTTAGAAAGCAAGACTCACCATCTCGCTAACCTACCTAACAATGATAGTTTCTCAAAAATATACTTAAGAGCATTTAGTCTTACTATTAGCCAAGTAGTGTGATATAGCATACACTGCCTGAGCTTGTGGGCTATCCATGTCAATGCATAACATATTTCTTTCAATTGAGAATATGTAGACTCGTATTCGATAAACTTCTTGCTTATATAATAAATGGCATGTTCTTTCTCACCTATTTCATAATGTTGCCTCAACACACATCCCATATAATGATTGTGCACCATGAGATACAAAATCAATGGTTTCCCTATGACGTGTGGTACTAACATCGGTGGTTTTGACAGGTATTCCTTAATCTTTCAAAGTTGCACTAACACTTTTGCCCTATTTGTAGAGGTCATGTTTTGAAGTAACTTAAAAATTGGGTTATATTTGAAAGTGAGTTAAGAGATAAAGCGAGATATGTAATTCAAACTTTCTAGAAAACCCCTTACTTTCTTTTACATGTATGGAACAGACAAGTTCTGAATGGTAAGTATCTTATCTAGGTCAACTTCAGTGCCCTTTTCGCTAACTATAAACCCTAATAGTTTTCTTGACTTAGCACCAAATGTGCATTAAGCCAGATTTAGCTTGAGTTGGTATTTTTGCAATATTTCAAATAGCTTTCTAAGATTGGTAAGGTGTTCTTCTCCTACACGAGATTTTGTAATTATGTCATCCACATATATTTCTATTTTTTTATGCATCATAACATGAAAAAAGGTTACCACCAAGAGCTCTAAAGTGCTGAAAGCATTATATGGTTGAATTTTTTAAGAAATTTGAAATATATTGTCATGATTATCTGATTATTTATCTTAGGGCATTATTACCCAAATAGCCATCCTTGTATGCCTTTATCTTATCCCGTTGCCATCTTTTGTAATATGTTTCTTCTATCTATGTTTCACTTTCAATCCTTACCTTTTTCTTTCTATTTAAATGCTTTGCCATAAATAGAAGAAATGTATAATTTGCATCTTATATTTTGAAATTAGGATAATGGTTAATAATTGAATAATATCATGAAAGATTATGCATTACTTTGGGAAAGTTGAAAGGATTAAGGCAAAAGATGAAATCCTCAAAGTTTGGTAAAGGCATTCATTTTGAAAATTCCTTTTAAAAAAAAAAGATAAATGCCTATATTGAGTGACAAAAAATGGATCTGATTTTCCTTACAAGAAGCATGCAGAGTTTGGGATGCAAAAGAATGAGTATGGAAAACTTTAGTATCACCATTGAAATTTTCATATAGGACATGCATTTGCATCGTTCACATTATTGTTTATTACATACAAATTTGTTATCTCAACAATCTAGATCATGTTTTTTTTTTTATTCGCAGTTTGATCCCAATCACCCATTTTTTATCTTAACTCAGTCCAAATCATGTTTTTTTTTTTTACTCACGATTTGATCCCGATCATCCTTTTTTATCTCAACTTGATCTAAATTATTTTATTTTTTAAATTTGTGATTCGATCCCAGTCACCCAATTTGATCTCGATTTCATCTAAATCATTTTATTTTTTTAACTCATGATTTAATCTCGGTTGCTTATTTTTTATCTCAGCTCAATCTAGATTATTTTATTTTTTTGACTCGTAATTTGATCCTGGTTGTTTATT